CAAGGAATGTACTGGTACCCACTCAAAGCTGGGTCGATCTGGGAACCTAAGTCATTTTTTAAAGGAATGTTCGAATCCGTCAGGACACAAACCCACGACCTTCCGATCTGCAGGCAAGGGCATTAAGGTGTCTAGCAACGCAAACTGTTGTTGGTATTTTTGACTGGGTGACAGACTGACGTTCAACCCCACCAGGTCCATAAAAATAGCAGTAAATATCTTGTGACATAAAGTGCCACCATTCAGATGAGAATCATCCGGGCACAGGTTCCAGAAACCCTGTTGAACCTACATGTTATATTTAGGGCCCTGGGCGACAACCAGAGTGTAGCTTTTAACCCCCCCCCCCCCCCCCAAATAAAATTGCGTCCCACACTGGGGAGGAGATGATTCTTCTACTTCTTTTGTCTCACTGACACCAGGTTGTAGCCCAGTGTCCTGGTTTTCTGTCTTTCACTTCTCTGGTGGCTTGGGAGGTGGATTTGTTCACCTTTTTTCAGGTTTCAGTTACACCATTTGTCTATCTCTTTCTTGGTCTTTCTCGTCTTCCTCCCAAATGTTTTGCTGTAAAAAAAAGTCTCATATGCAGTTCGGCCTGGTTGCATTCTCACTAGATGGCCAAACCACTTCATTTTTCGTCAATATAATTCAAATAGTCTTATTCCAACTTTCTCTTTAATGCTGGTATTCAGAGCCCAGTCTCTTGTGTTGTTGGTGACCTTGCTGAGACAGAGTATTTCACATGTAGTTATTTTCTGTTCTAGTGCCCTATTCACTGTCCATGTTTGGCACTGATAATATAAAGTAGGGATAAAGATACTATTAAATCATTTGTGGTTTTGCTGGGAGGGAGATATTTGGGTGTCTAAGCAGTGGGGCTAAACGGTTTGTGACAGTATTTGCTTCTGCACTCTGGCTTCTCTCTCTTTAATTAATGTGAATGTAATTTTTATGATGATTACGTTCAACCCCACCAGGACATCACACCGAGCGACAAACTATGGTGTGACGACTTTATCTATGGTGTGACGACTTTAACTATCTCACAGACAATAATTACCAGGAAACAAAGGAAACTGTTCCATCTGCACACTGTAAGAAAGCATCATCTACTTAGAACACATGTTAATATAAGTGACATTTATTTGTAACCAAGAAACGTTAACAGGCACATCCTAAAATATAAATGGTAAGAAAACCAAAAATAATCAAGATAATGGTATCAATGTGTTTGGTATGGAAATAATTCACACACACAAAGAAATGTTTCTGGTCCATCAAACTGAGAAGGTCACTAACAATTTCAAGCAAACAAGTGGAGCATTTATTCACATTATGTACACCTACTTCCAAATGTCAACAAAAACCACAAAACCTTTTCTATTTTTAAAACGTGAACAGAAATGGTGTGCATTGATTGAGAAATGTTTTGGTAACAATAATTTCATTGAATATTGCATCAGCTGTCAAACTATTAAGCCACAGACCATGAGAATGTAAATAAACATTAACACATGTGGGCAGGGGATGTCTGTGCGCCTGTAGCTACAATCCGGTATTTTAGGGTTGGCTAACTCCGCAAGTAATGAACATAAGTAACCTAGTGCTCAGCCAAGTCAGCCTCACTTCCAAGTGATACATATGGTGAAAACTCAGGCTATAAGTTCTAAACTCTCGAAGCATTGGCTTGCCGAATAAGATAAGATTTATTTGGTCAAATACTTGGAAGTTTTGACTGGCCTAGCAAGTCAGCAGTGAATTATACATTGCTACTAAGGAAATAAACCGAGCTATGAGGACGGATTAAAAAAAAAAGTAGTGATTTGTCAGCTCACACTGCTAAAACAAGTAGTAACTGGAAAGCAAAAGAATCAAATCAATAGCACATTCAGATCAATTCTGTTAAAATGACCGACCTGTCCCTAAAAACAGTATAAGAGAGGAAGATCACACATGGATGAGATGTCAGGGAACACAAATCAATGTAACCAACAGACAGGCTAAGTAATGAGATAAATGGGACTGTAGAAGCAACATCATGCACGGAGTACACAGAGACAGAGAATTAGGTGGTTCGATCATCTAATGAGAAATATTTTGGCTCCAAGCGATTACTATCTTTCAAGCTACATGAAGGTCTTACTCACAGCCCTGTGCCACAGAACCAATTTGGAGCTCAAAGACGGAGTCAAAATAGATGGGTATACTGGCAGCATTGCTTCCTGATAAAAGATAGCCAACTCTAGTGTCTCAGTTCCACAGGTGTTTACATTTGGGTAGCAACTTGGTGGAATAGAAAACAGAAATGGTGTATAATATTATTACTTATTCTTCTTTCCCCTACTCTTGAAATGTTTCGCGGCGTCAGGGAAGAAAGATATCTCTAGAACAGGCCCTTAAATTCGCTTCCTATAAAGTACTTTTAGTGTCTCTGATATTTCTGCGGTCCATATTCTGCGTGGTCTACATCTGGGTTTGTTACCACTCTGTTTGTATAACAATGCTCTCTGTGGTGCCCTGTCTGCTGCCAATCTTGTTTCATGGCCAAACCTATAAAGTTCAGTATTGGTTCTGTGCCGATTCTCCTCCTGATATCATCGTTCCTAAGTAGATCTTTCCTCATTACACCTAGCATAGCATGTAAACATTTTATTTATGTCGTGACTATTTTCCTTGCCTTCTGAAGACAGTGTCCATGTTTGGCATTGATAGCAGGGCATTGGTAAGAATATTGTGTTAAACAGTGTTCTTTTAGTGTTCATATTCACATGCTTGCATTTTAAAATTGGTGCCATTGGGCCTAAAACTTTACTGGCTTTACTGCATCTCTGTTGGATTTCTTTGTTCATTCGTCAAACTTTTGAAAAAATGCTTCCCAGATATGTAAAATCCTTCGCCTACTTTAATTCATGTTCTTCTATTTTGTCTATGTTGATCTTCACATCGTAGTTGTCGCATTCTGAGTGGAGTCTATTAATAAATTCTTGTAGCTGTACTGCTATGACTGCCTGGTCATCGGCGAAAAGCAATTCATTTAGTAATTCTCCGATGTTGTCCCCCTCGCTGTTAGCTGATTTGTAAATTTGGTTGACATATGTGATGAACAGTAGTAGTGATAGAAGGCACCCCTGTCTCACTTCAGATCTAATGAAGAACTCTTCTGACATTCCTGTATTCGTTCTAACTGCGTATTACTTCTTTCTACTAATAAATGTGCTTATTTTAATAGTAACAGCGTTGTTTTATAGTGAAGCTCTATAAATGTGCATGAATGAAAGTGTCTTATGCTGTCAAATTATAAGTACTTTAATTCTGATGGGGGAATGCAGTCACATACTTTTGCAGTTTTAATTATGTGCAAATTATTATAATGCACAAATTAATCTCTTCTTCTTCTTCATGTTCACCGGCTGTAAACTCTGGCGGGTTCTGGGTAATTGTCCGCCTCTGGATTTTAGTCTTGTTCCAGAACCTGAGTGTTGTGTGACATCTGTTTGATGCATCTGACTTATCTGTATGCAGATTGTTGGTTTCTTGCCTCACAGGCAGATGCACTCCGACTTCGAAGGAAGCCCCCAAAAAGTAGACTCTTACGGCATGCTTGTTTACCGGTCTAGTCTAGTGTGTGTTTTTTTTTTTAAATGCTGCAAATCCTATACTTTTGAACAGTCACATCTAAGAACTTATAACAATTTATAAATATTACAATCACAAAAAGGATTGCATTTTAAAGCTAATGGGTTTTTGTTGTTACTGAGGAAGATATAACAGACCCCTTAAATTTGTTTTGTGGACCACCAAATTGGAAAGACTGGGCTATTTACCTGACGACCCGCAGGCTGAATTTGGCCCGCGGAGGCCTATCAAGTGGCTAAAGCATCATTGTCAGTTGTGTTGTATACATGACCTATATAAGCTGGGTCAAGGGCCTGTGGAGGCCTGTCGAGTGGCTAAAGCATCATTGCCAGTTGCATTGTATACATGACCTGTATAAGCTGGGTCTCGGATCTCTGGTCTGAGACGTTTCCCATATTCAACATTTTGGCCCCCTGAGTTAACACAGCTGAATAGCAAGTCAAGGCTGGGGGATATTACTGACGTAAAAGAATAACACTGGGAAATAAAAAAACATTTAAGTGTTATAAAATTTAGTGTGGCAACACCAGTGACTATTTACGTTCAATATCAATTCTCATACAACATCACATATCAACATTTTTAAAAAGCAAACAAATTAACAACAACCTAAAACAAAACAAACCTTAAAAATCTCAACAACAACAACAAAACTCACACAAAAAAAGATTAGATAACATCCGTGAAGTTTTATCCTCTGCAGAATATGTCACCCTAGTATTTATACATTTCAAATCTCTACTAAAATTATATACTTGCAAGCAAAGCTTGAAGTACTTCATGGTTAAACTGCTACTTCATGCTCTTCTGGTAAACGCTCAACACACAAGGGAAACGGAAAACGGACATACAATCAGACAGTTACTGGTGCAATCAAAATTGGAACTCTTAGCCTGCTGCTAAATATGGGGACACAGAACTAATGGGAGTGTCCAGTGTGCTATGATGTCGACTCTCAACTCAACATTCATGCTTGTCTCATTGACTGCATCCTTTGGTTCATGAGGGCAATTTTTAAGGTGATCTGTAGGGATCGCTGCTGGAGCTATGGAGTTCATATTGTGTGTTTGTGAACGTGGCTAGCAGCTCTGCGGAGACCGAACAATATGGGGCAAACTTTTAATTTACCAGCAACAAAACTAAATCATAATAACTGTAACTATTACAAGAACAAAGATAAGACACCATCGTAGTTTTGTAATCAAAATTTATCACCAGAAAACAGTTGCAAAAGAAAACTGTGTTCTTCCTCATACAATTATTACCTCATAGACAAAAACACAAAGTGAATTACAAAAAATGGTTTCATTCTGAGAACAATTATACTAATTATATACAATGATAACAAATAACAGTTAGTACTGTCATCGTCTCTCCCGGTGATGTCGGCTGCTTCTCTCTCGTTCCCGCTCTTTCTCCCTCTCCCGGTCTCTGTCATAATCCCGCTTCTCATATTCACGCTCACTGCGATGCTCTCGGTCCCTGTCATGTTCGCGAGTACGATCCCTCTCTCTGCCTCGTCCATGGTCCCTCTCACTGCGCCGATCATCACGGCTTCTGGTTTTTGAGCTCAACCCATGGGTGGTGCGGCGTAGGAAGTCATCAACATCTCGCTCATACTGCAAATGAAATCAAATGAAAAATTCCAGTGTTAGGGGTAAAGGCATTCGGATAGCAAATACTACTGTTGGCTGTGGGGGTGTGAAGTTACTGAGCCCCATTTTCCAGAAAAGGAAAGGGGGGGGGGGGGGGAGATTGAATAGACCCACCTCCCCTAAACATTCGTAATGTAAAAGGTGACTGTGACTAATTAAAGGTTTGCTAAAAAAAAGAGTGAAATCTAAATAATGCCAACACAAACAATACATAGTCCAATATTTTGCTGCAATCCGGTCAAATGCTTTGTACAATCAACATATAATTTTCTTCTTCTTTTGTTCACCAGCTTTACCAGCTGGCAGATTATCCTGGCTGTTCATCCTTTTGGACTTTGGCTTTGCGCCAGAGCCTGAGTTTTACTTGTACATCTGTTTTAATGGCTTATTTGTGTGCAGTTGGTTGTTCTTTGCCACTCGGACAGATGCACTGTAACTTTGAAGAAATTAGTCGACTCATAAAATTTAATCATGGTACTTAAGAAGAAAAAAAGACTTTTCAAGTGGAGAAAGGAAAAACAGATGTAAAGGTCATCTGTGTGTATTTTTTCTACTATGTTGTGTAAGTTGGTCTTCATTTCACAGTCACTAAAATGAAATCAATGGCGACCCAGCCATTGTGCTGTCATACTCACTGATCTCTTACTGCTGGACTCTGCAGGTCGTTGGCTGCTCCCAAAATCTGTAGGTCCCATGGGATAAGCTGCACGCGGTGCTCTCTCAAACTGAGGAGTGAAGCCTCCTTGTTCAAAGAAACCAGGCATCTAAACAGATATAGAAACATAGAAACAGTCAGAATTGCCGGCTGATCAATCAGAAACAAGTTATCTGCCTATGAACATTTGTCATATATTATTTTTAAACATGAACACAATAAACAGATATAATATTGTTAACATTTCTTTATGGCTGTCAGTCACATCTCCATTCTGGCATGACTCATGCTTTTGATTTTCAAAGCTTCCTCAAGTGGGTTCCGGGGCTCCATTTTGGAGAACAAAGAACAGACCCACTGCTCCCTAACTAGCATGCTGTAATAGGCAACTAATAATGGATGTTTCTTTCAGCAGCAGTGCATCTGCCTGAGAGGCAGAAAACCAACATTTAGCAGTTTTTGGCACCTTTCTGTCTTTTCAGACGATAGTGTTCCACTGTACTAAATAAAGCATGGGAATCACAGCCCGCTGTGGTAACAGTTAGGGCCAGAGATGAAGTTCCTCATCTCCATAACACAGAGCCTGGGCAGTAATGCAGAGACCATGTGTTGCCCATGCCACATGGTTCCTCTTTCAGCTGGCCAAAGAAAAGTTAAAACTAATGTTTGGAAGAAAGTAAGCTGCAGGATCAGAAGAGCAGTGCTGTCTGTCCACTTGTCAGAGCTTCCCTCCTAGATCAGCTGCCAATCAGCTAATGGAGTGACCTTCATTGCCATAACATTGTTTAACGTTGCATTTCTCCATCCTAGGAAAAGACTACAATCAGTAATAAACAATTAACATCACAGCTGTGAGATATTCATAAGGACAACAAAGTCAATATTGCAATCTATGGTATGGTTAGTTGCGTATCCTTTACAGGACGTTGCAGAACCAACCTCAGCAGCCCCTGGCTGTTGCGTGGTTTTTCTAGGCATTTACGTCCATTTTTTGGACGGTCTGCCCCCTGATACCACTGGTGAAACCAACGCAAGCAGCATGGCCCGCAACTGGGATCAAACCCGGCACCCCATCATTACAAAGCGTTCTCATCGACTTAGCCGCAGAGATCTATGATATAAGGGTGAATAAAACAATTATCTGCACTTTGGCTCTATAATGTATTTTATTCTACTTTTATAAAAGACAATACATAATTTTACAAGATAATCTCCTTGTTTTACCATGTATATGCTCAACCTGTCAACAAGCTTTCTTTCCTTCCTTATTTAAAACATTTTAAGCTGAGCTGTATGCCAGTGCTACTCTGCTAACAGAAGCAAATCGGAACCTATGATATTCTAGAATCAGTACACTACAGTTCAGTTTACAGTCTATGACATTTCAGAACCAGTATTTTAAAAAAGTCAACGTCTTAACCTTTCTAGAACAAGTACAACACACTTATAGCCTCTGGTATCTGCAGAATCAGTGAACTTGAGTGAAACTTACCGGACCAAACTGTGCCATAGGGTGTGGAGGTGGAGGTCTTTGTGTGAAATCTCTCATGTAGTCAGAGTATGACTGAAACACACACACAAATTTACTGTTAGAACATTTGTCTTTTTCTGTAGGGATTCTAAGCTGCTCAGCACCCATTAGCTGGGGCTCTTCCTTGTGTGAGTTCTAGGGCCCCATCTGTGGGGGGGGGGGGGGGAGGAGTTGGGGGAACAGACCCACTGCCCCCTTAAGAGGTATATTGTAAAAGATGACTAATTAATGATTTGATGAAATCATGTGCGGGTTCAAGAGGCACAAACTTTTGCAGCCTAGTGTAAATCACAATCCAACGTGCCAATCACTCTTTTAAAGATGAATGTAGATGAGGAAATAGAGATTCCAGCAGAAGCCAGAGGGTAGAACAATCAACCTCAGTTGTTATGGTGTTCTAAATAAAGTTAATGGCAAAGTTTGAAGAACATTAACTAGGATTCTAAAATAGCTTCACAAGAAACAGTTAGTGTGTTCACAATAAACTAGAAGGTATAACATTGTCTAATTTAATGCAAATGTTAATATTTTCACAAGTGGACAATAAAAAGTTTATTTCAACCTCCATGAACAAAATGTGACGATCCTAACTGACACATCCCTTGATTACTGTTTTCAGGACCATGTAACTAAATATATGATAACTATTGAGTCTGAAGGCCTTTTCTAACCCATGCACTAGTTGCTTGAAACTAGAAATTATCAAGACAGAAAGAATTTTACCACAACAACAAACTCTAATGGGGAAAGTCCAGAATTAACAGTATCAGTTCACATCATGAGGAAAGTCCAGAATTAACAGCATCCGTTTACGTCATGAGGAAAGTCCAGAATTAACAGCATCAGTTTACGTCATGAGGAAAGTCCAGAATTAACAGCATCAGTTCACATCATGAGGAAAGTCCAGAATTAACAGCATCAGTTCCCGTCATGAGGAAAGTCCAGAATTAACAGCATCAGTTCACGTCATGAGGAAAGTCTAGAATTAACAGCATCAGTTCACGTCATGAGGAAAGTCCAGAATTAACAGTATCAGTTCACGCCACGAGGAAAGTCCAGAATTAACAGTATCAGTTTACGTCATGAGGAAAGTCCAGAATTAACAGTACCAGTATATGCCATGGGCAAAACCAGAGCACAGTCATATCTCAGCTCTACTCTTAGATACACAAAAAGACTCCATATTTCTATTTTCTGTTGTTCTGCTCTTCATTTCCCCATGGAGCACAGGCCCTCAACCGACTCCCGCCAAGTCCTCCTATCCATTGCTATTGCATGCAGCTTGCCCCATATCATCCTTATTCATTCTACCTCATTTCCCATAAATTGTATGTCTTTATATCTATGCCCCTATGGAATCCAGTGCAAAGACATTCTAGTTATATTGTTCTCAGGTTTTCTCAACATGCGTCCTATCCATTGCCAGCGTCTTTTCTCCACTTCTTGATCCAGTGGAATCTGTTTAGTTCTCTTCCAAAGCTCAACATTAGTGATTCTATCATACAACTGCACATTTGCTACACTGATTCTATTATGTTACCTGGGGTCAAAAAGGAAGCTATGCTGTAACCACATTCATAACCTAACCAAACCTAAAGGTTGCACACATGCAAACACAGCAAACTATGCATGGCATAAAACATGTCCCCTAGTAATGCAGATTTATGGGGAATCCAACTGGTTTTGTAGCTTATCAAAGCAACATGGTTAAGAATCAACAACACAGCCCACCTGCCATACCCATAGATGCTCTGTCTCTTGCAGCAAATGTAAGGTGTAGATTTCAACTGTTCCAGTATCACAGTGGCTGTACATACACCCTTGCTCTTGTAAGTCTTTTCTTGCCAGATCAACACTCAATTCCAAATTCATACACTCTTAAACATAATGCTTCAACCAACATTGTATGTTTTATCTAAAAAAATGTATCTTCTGTCAGCATTTCATCATAAATGGTTTTCAGAATGTCTACCTTGCTCAATGTGTGTTCCTGTAGCTATCGCTTTTTTCACAATATAAACAAAGGACAATAAATTAACTCTCCTATTTAAACATACCCCATTTAGGAAAGTGTCCCTTCTTACTCCAGGATATCTTGGCGTTCTGAAAGAAATATAATAGTGTGTAATGTCAAGACTGTCAATAAAAACAATTCTTGCATTTAACTCAAGACTGCAAAGACAAAAGGCGCTATGCTTCTTAACACACAAAAATGTCAGACACCTTAGAAAAGATATGGGTTAGGTTCCCTAGCAGAGATATGGGTTAGGCTCCTGTGTTGTGCGGTCCACATGTGTTGGGGTCAATATGGGGGCAGCTGTGTGGTATTGGTTAACAGTGTCCTTGAGTGCACATAGGGTGCTGGCTGGGGAGATTTATATGTTAACCAGCATAGGAATGTGATGGGGAAGCATCGGAGGCTGACTGGCGGGATGTTAGTCAGTGATGCTTCGATAAGTAGCTGGGATAGCAGTCAGGAGGTCTGAAGTTTTCACCAAGAAGTGCATCTACCTAGAGAGCCCCAATTGGTGGTAGGGTCGTTTACAGAACAAACAGTCAAGAGCCTGTCAGTGCACATCATATAGATGTATCTGCATCGGGTGTGAGCTGTGCGTAGCAGGCACCTGGGACATAGGTCGCTGGGGTGTTTTGTCCATGGCTAAAGAAACTGCTGATATAAGTGTGTGGAAGGCAGTAGGAGACTTGACAGTGAGCCATCTATCATCCATTTATTTTTGTTGCTATGCGTCATACACAGTAAAGCATCTGATCGAGTTTTGAAATTATACTCGGCGTGGTGTACTGTGTTACAGTACTCATAGACAATGGGGTGTAGTTTGTAACAGTACTTAGAGACATGGTAATGTGTTACGTGTGCATTGATGATTGTGGTACTCTTGTTTGGGCTGGCACTCCTCAGCTCCAATTATAATCACTATCAGTATGTGCCGTACAAAGAAGACTGGGCGGCATGGTTGGTGGATAGAGGGAATCCAGTGTATGGGTGGAGGACGGACATTTATAGACCCTTACATTAACAAATCTTTTAGACACTTGGCTAGTGTGTGTTACAGTCCCATATCCGCAGATGACAGCTCCTAAGATTTTTTTTAAAGCACAGGCTCCCCAGAAAGAAACAGGTTAGGCTCCCTAGCCAAGATAAAGATGTTAGGCTTTCCCAAAAGACAAAAGGTGTGGTTGGGCTTCCCCTGTCATGCGCTGCTTAGCTATAAGCCAGAGTTGTCTGCTATATTCAATGAAAATGATTCTATTCTCAACTTCTTATTCTAGCAGTTGTTATTTTAAAGCATCCACCAATCAGGTGCCATCTCCACAATTAAGGTTCATTACAATGGATCTCCAACATTCATTATCTATTGCTCTGGCTGTACACTCTCAGAATGCTGTGTGTCCATCATTTTATGTTATCCTCCACTTCATACTATTACTATTTTCATGCATCCTGAACCAATTCACTTTACATGATCTTAGTTTGGTCTCTTCATAAATGTTTCCAGGGTTAAGGTTACCAGCCCTACAAAACTAATTATGTTTGAGTTGAGTTGCAAGAACTGACATCACTGAACATGGGACATTCCCACAAGCACTCCATCCCCATCTTCAGCAGTCAACAAATGGTTGCAAATACTTATATTGCAGGTAAAACTAAACTGAGCAACGAAAAAAAAAAGAAAGCACTGATACTTATTTCTATCAAATGATGCAAATATAAAAACAAACAGTAACTTACCTCTCTGGACGTCTGTCAAAAAAAGCTGAAATCAGAAACAGATTATTTTAGAGAAACAATATGTATACTGTAGTACAAATAAACTCTTAACTGATATACAATTATGTTATGTGAGCAGTGACTCCTTCTTCTTCTTCGTTTGCCCGAAAAACAATGGCTGACATGCTGTGTTGTGGTTCATAGCTAGGCTTGGATATCTGCACCGTTTGGCCCAACATATCTGATTAAAAAAAACTTTTGATCAGTCGCCATTTACAACGGGCTTGTTGAAGGGTAGTGGGTCTATTTGTCCTCTCCCAAAATTGGGCTGCATGGAAGTGATTCCTACACTGTATGGCAAGTACACTTTTTCTATTGTTCCCCAGAGAAAGAGGAAAAAAAAACTTTGAAATGCCAATAGGTGCATGATAACCATGTGAGCATCCAATCTGTTCAATAATAAAACCAAAAAAATAGTGACGTGACGTTTGGGAATATCAAGAGAATAAGTTATTAAACAGATCCCTGGTTTGAGTTAGAGCAGTGGCTCTCAGCCTTCCTAATGCCGTGACCCTCTGATACCGCTCCTCATGTTGTGGTGACCCCCAATCATAAAATTATTTTCTTTGCTACTTCATAATTGTAGTGAATAAGTGTTTTCCTAATGGTCTTAGGCTATCCCTGAAAAAAGGTCGTTTGACCCCCAAAGGGATAAAAACCCACAGGTTGAGAACTGCTGAGTCAGAGAAATACTGGGCCAGCAAAGCAGTTGCATCAGGTGGCCATGCTACAGCTCACACAGAAAAGTATGGCAGCATGCTCCGCTTATGGTCTCTGATACTGCACCAATTAGGAATCATCACTTGCCATTTCAGTCACAGATCATATTAGACACCACTGTTTACAAGACAAAGATCAGCTGTAATGACCGCCCCAGCATTCTCTGTCATCATAACGGTGCCGGTTTTTTTTTTACTGCAGCATGCATCTGTAACTAACAACGATTGCTTGAAAGAGGCTAATGAAAGTAGATCTCTATATACAACAATAAGAAAGAGACTATTTTTTGGCCACATAATGAGAAGAGAGACATTGGAGAACATTGTGACAACTGGAAAGATCAGTGGAAAAAGGGATAGGGGCCACGACCAAGAGAGATGATGCTGGATGGACTGAAACAATGGCAAGGAGGGAGGGATATCAAGAGAACTATTCCAGTCAACCAGGGATCGTGATCTGTGGAGACGCATGACCGCCTACGCCAGCTGGCAGGGCACATGATGATGAAGATGCATCTGACAAAATACAGAGAAAGCTAGGCATATATTGCCTGTCAACTTTCTTCATAGAATCATGAACCTATCCTAATCATCATTCATACACATATTAACGTTTTTATAAAAACTCAAGATTATTATTTAATAATGGCATTTCTTTGACAAAAAGTAGTAATAAAGCTCAATGAGGGAAGACAACCATTAAAAAAAAAAAAAAACTTACGTTCTCTTTCAAATTTGCCTCGGCTGCGTTTCTGTCTTGGACCCGGCGGACCTTCAAAGAATTCATCTCTATTTGAACGTCGTCTATTGTTGGCAAAAACAAAGAAGTCAATGCAAGTTAGACAAGTAGAAAGCAGGTTCAAAGACTGGCTGGTGACACTGTTACTGAGCATGCAGTGAAGACACACTTATATATAAGACTATCATTTAAAATATGAGAAAGGGCAAAACAGCAGTCTGGAAAAGAAAGAAAGACAGCTATGCACTGATACTTGTATGAATCACAATGAATGAACAGACATCATCAATGAACATAAAACGTGTAATATACTAGGGGTGGTTTCAAAACATGGTGCCCTCAGCATACAATAAAGCAGATAAACAGCTCTGCATGTGAAGCTAGAAATGCATTTGTATACAAATGGTACTGGCATGTGTAACATCGTTGAACTGAGTTTGTTTTTTTACTTCACAAGCTTTACCCAGAGTTTTTCTTCGCATATAAGACCTAAGCCACAAATAAGCCCTGGCAAAATCATTAGGGATGCTCGTAATATATGACCTACCCCAAATATCAGCCCTAGTTAAGATCATCAGCCAGACGAGGGATTTCATTAATCGGTTGAAAGGGATGTATGTGAATTACAGTGTAATAAATGTATAAATAAATATTATTGACACTTATGCTCTGAACAAGCAATCTAGATTATAATTCAGCATTTGTCAAGAAAACACCTAAGCACATGACATCCCAGGGAAAATGCAATAAGGTGATTCTTTTGTGAAGCAACAATTAATATACAACCTGGTATTTATTGTTGGGGAAATGAAGAAAATACCTAATCAGTGATATGAGCTGGTACCCTCAACAAGAAAAACAAATGATTCCCCAGTGAAAAACAGGCCCTCAGCAAACTCATGCGGAGTTATTCTACTCCTTGTCATAGCATACAGCTTAATCCCTCCCCCCCCCCCCCCCCCCCACCAGGGTTTCTAATTTCTTCCCCATGAAATATCTAGTCATTAAAAATACTGTCATTACTGCACATATTTACTTCTACTTAGAGTTGGAGCATGTGGTGCCTCATGGGTGCTGCCACAGACGGTAAAAATTAGAATTTATGTTTTTCCCCCAAACTAAATCATTACTTTGCCAAGGACTCACATCTGGGTCTCCCTAATATGGGCCCAGCCTTCTGAACCACTGCTGATAAGATAAAATAAGAAAAATTAACACGCCCCGGTTTTAAAAAATAATTTAAAAGTCATGACCCCGTGGGAATCTTCTCCCTCCACAAACACTTAAAAACAATTTTACACAGGATACACAATTTTTTTTAAACCAAAATATATAAAGACACATAAATGTCTATCAATAAACATGAATAGAGCATTAAACGGAATATACTTTCCAGGCCTAAGAACAATATATACCATGTCACTCATGTCGCTATCTAATCCCACTACCAAAACTTGTTAAAGATCATTCAAAGCCCAGTGGCTTTAGAATCATCACCATACAAGACACATTTGGGAAGGTTTTGGAGAAGATAGTTGCCATAAAGGTTCACTGTCATTGCTGACCTTTGTGAGAGCTTTAGTTTCCCATAGATCAAATAGTGAGAAACTTGGACAACAGAGCACTAACTCTGCATCATTTTTATTCACGAAACTTTAACCCTCGCTTCCTGAGAACAGACACTTCCAGTTCCTATTCCCCATATATGTCATTTTCCCAACTTGTTTTACAATAGCTACCTTTTACTGAGATGCACAGTTAATGCTGTTGGCTTAGTTTTGCGCTGGCGCAGCAGCTAGAGACCTCAGAATTTGGATACAGTTAATAAAATTAGCATTTAGGAAGTTTCCGTATGAATCAAACAGCTCCTTTTTAAAGCCTAGGTGGAATCAATTGTGGCAAGCACCACTTCAAAAGTCCTGGTTAGCATCCTTTGGATATTTTCTCCAGGTTATGCCGGTGTATTGTTAAATGAGCAGGCAGACAGATTGGCCGGTTCTGCCCCACCTGGAGATGAGCTGATGTATGATAAGCTGGATGTTGTGAGGGCCCTTTGGGAGCGAATGAACAATGCTGAGACACAGATAGATCATTACGGTCTGAGGAGAATGGCACTGCGAGGAGTTACAAGGGGATCTGGCCGAAGCTCGACACTCAGGGGAAAGGCGAAACGGATATACAATCAGACACTTACTGGTACTATCGGAATTTTTACTCTTCGCTTACTGCTGAAGATGGGGATGGAGCGCTTGTGGGGGTGCCCTGAGTGCTGCGATGTCGCTTCTTAATCTAACATTTAAAACTAAACCATGGGTTATCTAATCTAAGCTCTAAGATTTAATGATTGTTAAAAAAAGGAATAAGGCAAAGAAGGAACAATCAACAGAGAGATGGTAGGAGACAGATATGTGGCAATAAGTCACAGAGTGTAGAAATGTTGTACCCCAGCAACTTTCTAGGTTGTCAGAGAAGGCTAGAATGCATGGCAGAGTGAAAACTCTGATAAATGATTATACACGATGCACCTCAATGTGTATCAGACTAAATCTATATTTTCATTTATGACAAAATATAGACAAAACTGCAATGTCACTGCAAACAATCCTGCATTAAAACAGAAGGAAAGAAGAAAAAGGGAAAGAAAGAAAGAAATGGAAACAAAATTGTAAATGTACAAAAAAAATGTTCCCCAGAATGCAATATCACAAATAAATGGTGCTGTCCCTGTGTGGGTTCCGGGAAAAACAACAGACCCACTGCCTGCCCAAAAGCATGTCGTAAGAGTCGACTAATTGGGAGCTTCCTTTTAAGGTGTAGTACATCTGCCTGAGAGGCAAGGAACCTACATACAAATGAGTCAGACCTGTTAAATGGACGACCATGCAACATTTAGTTTCTGGAAGAAAACCAGAACCCAGAAGTGGACGAATAACCATAACTTTCCGCTGGAGTTTACAGTCGGTAAACGCAAAGAAGAAATGGGGCTAATCTGATCAAGCCAATCTGAACTAGTATTTGGGTACTTGTACCCACCCACACACGCATGCGCACACACACAAACACACACACAATGCCTTCACAGCATGACAAGAGCCAGTATCAGCCAAGGTGCACTAGATTGCAAATAATTCTTCACTGCAATGCTTAACGGATAATGAACTGGAAGTGAGTAAGGAAGTTCTTCAGCAATATATCCAGCCAATCTTAATGAATGGAAGTGAATCATGGACAGTCTACACAGATTAATGAAAAATTACAAAACTCATCAGTCCTTGCAAAATCATGAAGCCTGCACACACAAAGAAAATGCATAAGGCAGCCATCAGATGTGCCTACATTAACAGTCTTCTACCATATTTTTGGCTCTCTGTTGATGCAAGCGATTAATCATGAAAACCTGCATTTGCATACAAAATACTGTTTATTTTTTAAAAATTTTTTTGGGTGTGCATTTCACAACACAAAAACCACCAATGGCAAAGCAGAGAAAATGAAAACATTCAACATGAAGCGCACAGTTCATAGTGTCTCACCCAGCACTCAACACAGTAGCTGGATGATAGAATCTTTGGAACATAAATTGGAACACTGCATCAGCAAACTGTGACTAGAAACAAAGAAATTGTCACTGCGTCATTAGCCAGCTGGCATAATGAGATGCAATGAAAGCAGACACTGAAAGAGAGATGATAGAACATACACACACAAAAACACTGTAGGTACCATTTCATGCATTGAATTCACAGAGACAACAAATAAAGTGGTTTAACAAATTAAACTATTAAATGAAAGACCTTCACATGTCGGCTACCAAAGACCATACTTATCACAGTATCTGAAACAAGACACAGAGCTTTGTCACAAGTATGCTTTCTGAAAAAAAAAATGAAACAGACCTATACTGCCACAACATTAAGTGAAAATTGTGGTCACAAATTAAATTATGATGATATAGAAGTCCACCTTAAAAAAAACAGTCTAACATGCTGAAGAAGCAAAGCTCTTGTTTTGAGTTATGAGCTGCATTATCATCACAGCACTCCAGACGCATCAACAGGTGCTCAGATTCCCCTCTCAACACATTCATCATCGCTGCACGGTTAACAGTGCCAGTCCTATGCTGGTTGACAAGACTTTGTGTACGTCTAGTGTGCTTCTCATGCTTGGCTGTGCAGATCTTCACTCCCACTTTACACGCACTTGTTTTGTGTAGGTTGTTGAAGTTCAAAGTGTTCAGACCAATTCTTCTAACTTCTCTAATGGAGCAGCCCATGAAGAGAGATAGGCTCAATATATGGAAATGAGGTTAAGCAAGCCCAGTGCCAGAGTGGCATGGATAAGCTCTGAATTTATGGAAGTCTCTTTGAATGGCAGGAAATGCACATGTTCTTTCAACTTTCTCTCTTGAGGGTTGGCAAGCATTATGTGGCTGCTCTTGAACTGCCTGTTTGGGGGAATGATCTTAGGACTGGGAAGCAAGGATGACTTCCCAAAAATGAGGCTGTGCAAGGTACCACGGAACCAGGAAAGCTAAGTTAGATGCGTTGACCGAAAAGTGCAAATATCGCAGCCTTGCAGTAAGCAAGCACAAAAGAAACTATGTCCTTGGCCTTAGTTAATACTACAAAAGCAGCATACTATATGCAGCAATGTAGAACCATAAATGACAGCAGAGAAATAAAGATGGGTCTTACAGAAATATAGAAAGCCTAAATTTAAGTTTTAGAGTTTCTGGATTAGGAAATCCAAATAAAGTTAGCAGCACTCAAAATAATGAGTACATAGTCATGATAGTTGCTGCACAATTGTTTTTAATGTGTTTGTGAGTGTGCATGTGTGCTTGCTTATGTGTGTGAGAAGGGTGAAAAGGATCAGAGAGAAAGAGAGAGAGAAAGAGAAAGAGAGAGACAGCCTAATTGTGTTTCGAGGGCAAGTGTGTTGCTTTCTTTAACTGTCATATCTTTGTTTAGTCTCCCAGTGACACTGCCTCTCCACTGTTTTCTCAGGATGAATGTACTGCAGGTTTAACCACAATGGGATCAAGTCAACAAGTCCTGGGTTCTAT